CGTCCGTCTGTCTGTACGTCAGTCCGCCTGTTACGCTTTGGGGTACCTATCTCTTATCCCCAACTCCTCTTATACCACTGAATGAAATTTAATGAGACTTTCACAGAATCTTTGTTACATAGTGCCATTGTGCACCTCCTATTTTACTTTTTGGTCTGACACTTATTTCGGGTCTCCCAGGGCAAAACATGGACTTTGCCATTATAATCATATGGGAGGCAGGGGGTATCATTTAGTGAGCTCAGTGCTCACAGTATCTTTAGTTGTCATCTATAATGAATGTATAAATTTTAAAAAAAACATTTCTGTGATGTCATTCCTTTGTTCGTGCAGTCTAAAAATTACCTGTGGCATGCAGTCCGATATTAGTGAGCAGTCTAATATTAATCGTAATATCACTAGTACTCAGACTGTCTCAGTACTGATATCCTTCAAAATTGGACTGTTACTGAACAAAAGAAGTTCAAGTGTGATTATTTAGCAAATACCAATAATTTGATCTTAGTTATGTGTACATAATTTTTTTAACAGAATATTATTTTGTGATCATACAGAATTGGAAAATTAAAAACATGACTCATTCTGAAAAAGGAAGGGATAAAATTAAAGATTCAAACACGATCTCTCTGAACTTGTAATAAATATGATTGACTGCTAGTGATGTTTTCATCCAGTGTAACAAATTCAGAAATTCTCTTATTCTGGGTTGAAACCAAATTGAATGGATATTAATACAGTAGAGTTGACTGGTAAATCTTTCATTTTAAACATAAGTGAGTTCTACTTCTGGTTATATTAAAAATTTATCCATTAGACTTGTAATGACATTATATCCTAGTGTCTGTATACATTTTAGTAATTAACATAATTTTCCTTTGTTTTCCACTCAAAAATAGCGCATATATATACCTATATCTGACCACCGACATGTGGCCTGTGACTTAATTCTGTCCTTACGCATGAGTCAAAATTTAATTCGAATTAGCTTCGCTTCGCTTAGCGTTCACACGGAGCTAATGCGAAGTAATTTAATGCGCTGTAAATTAATTCGAATTAAACTAATTCGCATTAAATTCTCCGTGTGAACGCGGTTCAAATTTAATTTGCAGTAACTTACGTTTAATTCGAATTAAACTCTCCGTGTGAACAGGACATAGATTGACAATGAACGTATAATTCTGTTTTCCAGGTAGACATTTATATGCCTTGCAACTGGAAAAAAAATCAAATAATTATTTTTTTAAATATAACTTTTTGTCTCTTTACGTATTCTTGGGGTATAAATTTACGTAAGGTATATACATTAACATGTATTTAATTTTTAAAGTTTAAATAATGATCAATGTGCACTGAGAAGTCTCCCTAGAATTTAAAACTTCTCCCTAAATTTCTCTGAGGGAGAAGTGATGTCTCCCTAAATTTTGGGTTAGGTAAGTAGGTTGGTCCCTGAGTCTTTTTTTTCCTTTTTTTTTTTTCTTTGTATTTACCAGTATAAGGAACTTGTTAATTATTTTTTTTAATTTTTAAAATACATGTATATTAATCTTCAGTCGCTAATGGGCTTGTGGCGGAAGCATTTATTTCCAAAAATCTTCCTAAAAAGAAAAAAAAAGAGGATTAATAGCAATTAAAACAGAATGCTGCGTTTCAAATGTAGTCAGTGGCATTTCCATATTTTTTCGAATTGTTATACATGTATATAAGTTATTTTTTGTTCCTGTGGGAGGGGGGGGGGATTGAGGCCCGTAGGGCCGAAGGGGGAGGGCATGGGAGGGGGTGTCCCCCTCCCTTAGGTGGGAGTTCGGGGGGCCTCCCCCGAGAAATTTTCTTTAAAAATGGCTCCAAATGGTGCATTTTCCAGGATTTTAAATTGAATTAGTTAGTTTTTTGGCCTTTTTTTCTAGTTGTTTTTCAAGGCTGACCTACCCAAATTTTCGAGAATTTGATCAACAAATGAAAATTTGGGGTTATTTCTAACTTATATGTAGACATGAAAAATAAGACTTTTTCTAGAAAAAAAACGAAATGCAAAATCTAATAAAATTAGAAATATCGCCATTTGATTTTATAATAGTACAGTATCCAATTCTTCATTTTAAAATGCAGGTACAATGTGTCGCATGTGAAGCTCTAACTACCAAAGTACAACTGATGTGCAATTTCCCAACACTTAGAAAATTTGGATTCTGTGTAGAAACCCTAATTACTCTTTTCAACTACTTGACTATACTGTTCATATAATTTGCAATATAAAAAATAATGATATTTCATATTGAAGAATAAATACAAATTATTTTGGGAAATTTTTTGAATTATGGCTTATTCATTTTTGGGGGGGGGGGGGGTAATTATATGTACTTTTAAATTCTTTTTTTTTACCCACTTACCAGCCTATAATTTTTGAAAAAAGTCTTTGGGAAATTGTTGGAATTATAATTGCTTATTCATTCGGGGGGGGGGGGTAATTATATGCATTCTTTAAATGTCAAGTTCGGAGATTTTTGTAAAAATTGAATTATATATACATAATTGTCTACCAGTCACCTGTGATTAAAATTCACGTATCTGTTTAATTGAAAATTTATCTGGCGGCCGCCAGATAAGTTTCTGGCGGCCGCCAGTTATTTATGTGGCGGCCGCCAGATAAAATATTTTTCTACCTGGCACCTACCGGCTTCCGTAGGATAGAGTCTCATTTATGAAATATATTGTTAAAATGACACTTGTAAAAAAATTTTTTTTGATTGGGCGGGGGGGGAGGGGGACCCCCCCCCCCAACCCCCTGAATCCGCCACTGTTAAAAGTGATGATTGAAGTGGTTATGATGTACTTGGATTTGGGGTAATTTAAAGTGAAATAATTAAAATCACTTTGGAAATTCAGAAAGAGAGGTTTTTTTTATTGTATTAATGCTAGCTGTATCAGTGATTAATGTGGCTCCGGGGCCATAAAATTTAGACGAGCTCATTTTTGATCCCAGTCTCATTTTTACAAAAGGAATTTTTGTGGAAAAGTGAGACTGAGGTCAAGAGTGAGCTCATCTAAGTTTTATGGCCCAGGGACCTGGACACATGCCTCCCTTTTTTTACACATTCATATGGCAAAGATTCTTTTATTAGTATTTTCGCATTTATTTAAAAGTAACTAGTTCAGTCTTTTATAGATCAAATAAATTATCCTTAATTCTCATTATATCGCGGGTTCCATTGTATCGCGGTATTTCCAAAAAATTAGGATACATAGTTCATATCCTTTTTGTTGACGGACTATCTGTCTGTCGTCTGAATGTTGACTTTTGTAGTGATTAAAAAGTATGAAACACCGTTGGAAAAATATTTATTCAAATAAAACGAAATTTTACAGATTTCCATTCCCGTTTTTATGTTTTATTTGTTCCATAGGACTGGCGGTAAATTTAGATTTTGCTTTGATGTTGCTGTGGTGTATTTGCCAGAAGAATCACAGATTTTTTAAGTCACGCCCACGTTTTGGCATCGAGCCATACTGTGACAAGAACTTGACTGATGAATGAATGATGTCAATTTCCAGACATGGCTGATGAATAAATTAAGTCAACATTTTTAATTTAAAAAATACTAACATTAGCTTGTCGATGTTCGCTTCATAAATGGTTCTGTATGTTTGTTCCGCGTATCCTTAATCAGTAAATGATACGTCTTGTCTCGAGTTCTCGTCATTCTCTTTCCCGTCTCCAAATACAAATAGCAATTTCACATCAGAAGTCCCCGCGTTTTTTTTCCTCCAATACCATTTCAAACTTTCATTAAAATGTCAGAAATCATTTCATTTTTTCTGTACGCCGATTGCCATATAGAAAAAGTTCAATGGAGATGTTTCCCATACCCATCCCCCCTTTTTTCAAAAAAAAAAAAAAAAGATCTAGAAAAATTTTCTTTCAGAGTTCACAGCTTGAATATAAAAGCCTACAATCGCTACCCCTGTACCTGTACCTGACAAAAATCATGTTTTCTGCGTCTTAAACATTCCAAAGGTACAATATCTTCACTCGTACCAATTCCGAAATTTTTTTCCAACAATATTCAGTAGCAGTGACGCAGCTAAGTATGATCCTTGCAGATGGAGACAGCTATTTATACAAACTCCGGACCGTGGCTTGACACCTCGTAGTAGGCGGTGCTAATTATCAACTTGCTTTTCTCTCATTGGTCCTCTGGTACAAGTAACTTACACAATAGATATTAATTGGTTAGCGGTAAATACACTCACAGTTTTTATTCACTCGGGGCTCCGCCCCTCGTGAATGAAAAACTGTGAGTGTATTTACCGCTAACCAATTAATATCTATAGTGTAACTATAACTTAGACCATTGAATATATAACCAAGTAAAATCCATAATAAAGTTCATCTTTTGAAAACCTTAAGTTTGTATTATACTTAAGTTTTCATGTAGATTTACATCATAAATTAAAAAAATAAAAATTGTGCTTTGTGACCGTGCCAAACCTCCATGTTTTTTTCAATACCGCGATACAATGAGACTCCCCACTTTTGGAGGTAAATAAGACTTCCTGTTATAATACGAGACTACAAAGTAAACGAAGAAAGCTTAGTAAATAATTAGCCACTAAAAAGTTAGACCATTGATAGGTTTATGAATAGTATTTGGTGAAAAGTTAATGTAAGAATTTGGAATAACTTTTTTTATGCAAAAGAAATAAGTACCGCGATATTATGAGACACCAGTATACATGTGCAAAATACATTTGTCGTATTGCACACTTTTTGCTTTCCAGTGGATTTTTATTGGGGGTCTCTTGATGTGAGGTTTTGTATATGCCAGTAACTTGGGGATATATTTCACATTTTACTGGAAGACGTCACCTCGGTTCAGTACTTCCAGTACTTTGATTTATTTTAAAACTCCCGCAAAGGGAAGATTAATTTACCCACAATTCCGAAAGCGTCGAGGAAGTAAGATGGCGGATTTTGGATCGTGGCTGGGAATGGATTGACGGATCGTCACAAAAGATTTACGTCACAAACAGAAAAAACAACGTTATGTTTTGTAAATAAGAATCTGTTTGGGTAAATTTCGTTCTTTTTATGTATTTAGATAGATTTTAATAATTATACTAGCTGCATTTTTTGCAAAAAAGACTGCGCATCGAAGGTAAACAAGTTTGGGCACGGGTGTTTCAAATTAAAACGATGATCATGCAATGTTTACTCATTCATTCTCAAATTGTAGGCATATCATTAGAAATAAATTCCAGCAACTCCAGATAGAATATCAAATTGACTGTCTAAGAGAATGATTATTACAGTCCAAAAATATCACAAACCTCGTTTTCATCTCTGAAACTTAATTTTTTTTAGGTAATACTGAGGCATAAAGAAGAATTCTGTGATGTATGAACAAGGTAATACCACCGTCATCAATGATCAGTTGATCCTTGAGGAGGACTATGATGAAAATTATCAGCCTAGTGAAGAAGGTATTGCATTTAACTGATAATTCATTTGAACAGTAATAGTAATTGGAGGCAGTTTTGTATTTTGGATGCACACTTAGTATGCTCACTGAAGTGACCGCTGAAGCCTTTATTATACCTCATTATAATTATTCTATACAACATGTTATCTGATTAGTTCTAGATTATCTTTTGACAGGGCCATTAAACTTCATATTTCCCTGTCATCGCCATGCTTTTCATCATATTCAGCCTCTTCGGAGACCTAATGCATTTTCCTGCAATAGTTATCGTTCATTGAAAGAAAACTCCCGAGAGTAGTAGAGGTCACAATAGCCTGATTTACGCCACAAAATTGCTGATAGATTTCTGTGTTTCAGTAACAGTACATTAAAATTGAGAGTGACATGATTGAGTTTAAGAGCGGTGCTGAATTTGAAAGTTTATGTTTATTTTTAAAGTTTTTGCTTGTTTCAGTATAATAAACAATTTATTGCATGAATGTTCGGGAAACATAAGAATTTGTTCAGCCAAGAAATATCATATTCCCCTCTGGCAAAGCCCTTGGGGAATATGATTTTTCTTGGCTGAATAAATCTTTTTATTTCCCTAACGATCATGCAATAAATGCATATTATCATACCTCATTATAATTATTCTACACAACGCGTTATCTGATTGGTTCTAGATTATCATGTGATCGGGCCATAAAACTTGATATTTCACGGTCATCAGGCCTAGATAACTAAATTGTGTGTTTCCGGTTCCCCGACCGACCCTAAAATACATGAGCCAACCCTGAAAAATTTATTCGCCGATATTTTTCCGGAAGTAAACAGTTCCATTTTCACTATTAGAAATCGTAATCTCAACCACTTTGGTGTTTGAGAAAATGCATATCCTATACACATTAAAAACAAATGCCATTAGTAAGCCGCCCTTTTGGGAAAATGAAAGGAACTCTTTGTTTTTCTTATTTTGTTTATTGTCAAAGTTGAATTTTAACTTATAAAATGTTAAAATAAAATAAAATGTTTTGCCTACCTACCTACCCTATTTATTCTCGGGTTGGAACAGGAAACACACTATTTATTTATCTTGGCCTCAGCATGCTTTTCATCATATTTCCCCTCTTCGGATACCTAGTGCATTTTCCCACAATATAGTTATTGTTCGTTGAAAGAAAACTCCCGAGAGTAGTAGACGTTACAATAGCCTGGTTTACGTCACAAAATTGACGATTAGTGATGTGTCAAAGGGTTTCAGTAACTTTACGTTAAAAATGAAAGTGAATCTGAGAGTTGTGCCGAATTTGAAAGTTTATGTTTATTTCAAAGTTTTTGCTTGTTTCGGTATAATAAACAATTTATTGCATGAATGTTCAGGAAACATGAAGATTTATTCAGCCAAGAAATATCATATTCCCCTCGGGCGAAGCCCTGGGGAAATATGATATTTCTTGGCTGAATAAATCTTCATATTTCCCTCACTATCATGCAATAAATTTATATTATTAGCCTTTCTCAGGGTACTGCTGTCTTGCAGGGCAAATTAAGAAGGTTTTTCAAAGTTTTCGTTGGCAGCTAATTAAATGACTTTATTTAACAATACTGTTACATCATATTTCACTTCGACAAATCCTGGGAGTCTGATGCCCAGGACATGGTGAAGTTGGAAGTGGGCATGTGGAAATCTCATGCTTACAAGCTGGAAAGGTGCATAAATTGAGAACCCTTAACTTCCATATTGTTTATAACAATCTACTTAAGCTTTTGATTTGAAGGATCAAGTCATTCATTAGATGTTTCATTTTCGTTCATGAATAACATAACATTTCAAAATATAGGTTGAAAACAATAGCTTGCATGCAGACAATAGATGCTCTTTGAAAAAAAATGTAATCGGCATGAAAATGCAAACAAGAATAAAATTATTTAATGAAATTCTGGGCATGTAAATATTTGTTGCTTGATATAGTTAAATATTGGCTTACATCCTGGTGATTTTGTTTTCTGGAAGAAATTAACTTTACATTTTTTTCCAATTAATCCTTGCATAATATAACAAAAGTATGAATTTTTCTGTTCAGTGACGGAAAATTGAAATAAAATTTAAAATGCCAGCCCATCAAGGAATGAAATGATCTTTCAAGAAAGTTTATGCGGTTATGGTTAAGCATTTACAATTGCAATTAAGGTGTGTCATTTCTGACATAAGTTATATCATAGATATTTTGAGAAGTATATGTTAGATAAAAACTCATATAGCATGACTCAAAATCACAAAGAAAACTGGGGTCAGTGTGCATCTTACTGAGCAATATGGTACAATTAATTTGACTTTTTTGCACTAAAATTGTAATATTTAACTTTTTTAAGTTCATCACTTTAACCTTTATCATATTTTACTACAATGTATTATGTTATCATGGCAATAAATATTATTTTGAATAATATTTATTTTTTTAAAAATCCTCCATATTAATGCGTGTAAATAATTGTGTGACCTTTTTGCACTGAAAAATATCCTCTTTGGGGTATTAAAAACCTAAATACCGTAAGGCAATAAAATATTTTCTTGCACCAAGCTTTTAATGATTTTAGTGCTGATTGGTTGGAAGCATGGTGTAGTTTAAAGTTATAAAAGAAAAAGTAGGGGCCAGTGATGTAAATTTTGAGATTTTGGTCAAAATATGCAATTTTCAGGCAAAAAATAATGTAAATTTTATCTCCATTTTCAGCAAAGTCTGTTGAGTGAATGTGAAAAATTTATTCTAGAATTACTAATTGAAACCTATATTTAATATTCCTAGCATATATCATGATATAATAACAAAAAAAAAATCTCTATGTATGACTTAAGTTTCAAGACATTGAATTTAACATGACATTGATGACATTGTCAATTTCTCTGTGCCATTGTTCACCATGCTCTTTCACTGTTGCTCAAAGTTTCTTATGTTCTCCATGAAGATTTGAAGAATTTTCTTCTAAATATCCTATCGCTATAAGAAATAGTCCCACATAAATCTTGTTTCTTTATGTTTTTGTGAGCAGTTTTTAAAATGAATATTGTATAATTTGTATTGTTTTATTCAAATATGTTATAAAAATTGAATTGTAATAAATAGTTTTGAAGTTACTGGTTCTGACCAAACTTTTCACAAAAGCTGACAAATGACGTAACTTAATCGTTTCCTTTCTTGAGATGACATGTTTAGCAAAAAAATTAATGTTTTGCACTGCAAATCAATTTTCAGATTTCTAGGCTTTATATTACTATCAGACTTTAATGCTTTGGTGTGCATTGGATCAATTCATTCAGTGCTCTATTCATTTTATATTCAAAGATGTCATATTTGCGTTAAAAAAAGGAGAAGAGAAAAAAAAAAATGGGGTTGATTTTAACAGAATATTTTTGTGCATATATACATTCTGTAAATATGGTGACATTTTTTTCATTTCAGAAATATTTGAATATGCACAGATAATAGGGATCGATCCTAAAACAGAGCCTCATTTGATCTATATAGCTAGGGAGGGAATCAGTGCCCCACTACCAGACCATTGGAGGCCATGGTGAGATTAACATGATGTACTATTGAAATAACAAACTTTGTTCCTGTGTTAAACTGAGAAAAAAATGAAGTAGAAATATACAATGTTGTTTGTTAATGTATAAAAGAATCACACAGAGTAAAAGCATTTTTTTTCTTTTTTATCTGTTCTAGTCAAGATCCAAAAGGAGATATTTATTACTTCAACTTTGCCACGGGAGAGAGTATTTGGGACCATCCTTGTGATGAGTTCTACAGACGGATGGTCATGGAGGAGAGAAAGAAGTTGGCCATGAACAGAGGAGGTCTGGATATCCTGAATTTCAATAATGTTTAGCTAGTGTATAAATTGGTTACTGAAATGAATGAAATTAATATTTATTCAGGGAGGATGTAACTAATTAGGCATGTTTTGATGGATTGACTGTGATTAACAGAGCTCCAGATAATTTTTTAACTCAAAATGTATTTACTCCCTGATTTTCAAATCAATGCAGATTTTGCTTTTCAGCAAAATAATCAAAAAGTATTTTTGTTAATCTATTGCTCTTTTGACATCCAATGTGATTTTTAGGTTGTTAGGCGTTCTTTGAAAGAGGAATGTAAAAAAAGGACAGTTTCTGCATTTATCAATTAGGTTAATGAAATATATTAGGTTTTGCTATATAAATTGTTGGCATCGATCGAGGTAAAAGTTTTAGAGTTACTCCCCATTTGCATTAAAAGTCGCGTTGCGCTATTTATAGCAAAGGAGCCATGTGGAAAGCAAAAAAGCATTTATTTTCATATAATTAATAAAGGTTGTCGGCGGACTTTAGATGATATTATTGCTACAGAAAATGGTAAATATATAAGAACTGTTCAGCAAACAGTGATAAATTAGACACCATGCGTGTTTTTGCGGAATTTTGACAATATCGACGCATACGCGTCAAGAACGAAAATTTGGATATTATATGAACAGTGGAAATCTGTGATATTTTCAGACAAAATACGAGTATTTAATATTCAAATCCTTCTGCCAAACTGGAAATAGGCCTAGGTTATTCCGAATACGTTTATAAATCAAAATTTCATTTTCATAAAAATTCAAACACTGAGCTGACCTCAATTCACATAATTAGTACTTGTATCATTCAATCCGTCGTACATGTACGCAGTACTTTCGTAGTGCAATGCTTATTTATGATTGCTAATGCGTAAGTGTACGCCCTGTTTTAACTTTTAATGCGTATTTTGAAAAAATCAATGCATATTTCTGCAAATACGCACCTTATCTGGAGCTCTGGATTAATCATTTAATTTAAGTTGGCTTAATTGTTTACCAAGATTAATCATTTATCTGAAGTGGGCTAAAGTATATTCTTAATTATTTATTTACTTTTTTTTTTTGTTTTGCAGGTACACCTTCTCGTGGTGGTCAACCAGGAAATAATGCAGCAGGTAAAAAAAAAAGCAAACTATAAATAAAAAATAAATAAAACAAAAATTGTGTTTTAAAGTATGTCATTTCATTTAGATGATTTCTAAGCACCTATGTATTTTATATCATACATGAGTAATAAAATGCCTCTTTGACATACATGTATTAATGTCATTGATTAAGGTCCAAAGAAAGGAAAAGGAGGCAAAGCAGATGGAGGGAAGAAAAAAGACAAGAAAAATAAAGCTGCAGAGAAGGTACAGAAGTCTTAATATATAAGTAGAATTGAAATATTTAAGTATGCTTGTAGTAAATTGTGTGTATGTGTAATGGATTGATGGTGACAATATAACTACATTAGGGTGAGTTAACCATGCATCGGACACATACCTTGCTTCGGACAACTTTAAGCAATCAACTTTCATTGAACCCGAGTCGCCCCGTGTTTTTACTTGTTTCTGTCTTAAAGGTGAAGATTTAGACTTTTTAATGATGCCGATTTTTATTTTCATGTTGTGATAAAAATACCACAAGAATGGCCTTGAAATTACGTCATATTTTGCATCATCAAAGGGGAGTAACCAGAATTTTACGATTTTGCAATTTTTAGAGTTGTCGTTCTTTTAAATAGACGTCAACGGAACGGGTCGGACCTACCAAAAATTTGTCAATGATTGATAATTTTACAGAAATTTTCAAAAATTTTACTTCACTGTTTGTATAATATTTTTTAGAGTTGTTTTTAACTAGTATGTTTATTTCACCGTACATCGGACACAAATTAACCATGCATCGGACACTTTCCGATGCATGGGTAATCACTTCCATTTTCATGTAAAACCCAAATGACAGCTGCCTTTTACGGAAATAGAAAATAGAAACCCTAAATTTTCAGTGAAAATACAAATTATCGATATATGACGACTAGAAGTAGACTCAATTTATTTCTTCAAACTAGATGATGATAACCCACGAGACAAAGGTGCGAGTTGCCATAATTACTAGCATTGTAAAGCTTTTCTCAGGCGATGTGATGCAACTAAAATCTCTTCACATTTGTGGATAGAAATAGTCATTCAAATTTAATTAGAATGTTAATTTTTAAATAAAAGATAAAAATGTTTCGATATCACTAAATTTAAAGCATCGAGATAAAGGTATAATATTTTTCTGGTTTAAATATCGTATGTCCGATGCATGGTGAATATTGTCCGATCCATGGTGAATTCTGACTAATTTCGAAAAAATCGGTTTTTAATGATATTTTCTTAATAAATAGGGCACGATTGTGTCAAAAATTTATATTTTAACCACATACTATATGTTAAGTTCCATTTTGATAATATTCGGTCGGTAGCGATATCGCTAGAACTTATTGAAGTGCGAGGGTGTCCGATGCATGGTGAATTCACCCTATATGTTGGGATTTTTTTTATATAGTACACAGACTAAACTCAAGTTTTGGAATTATCCTATTGATTTTTTTTCAATATACAGTTACTAAAATATGTTGATGTTTCTTATTTACGTATAAATTACATATATTTTCGTATATTTTCAATTTCAGCTTGGTCCACTGAAAGCTGAGCAGAGTAAGGGAATTCCATCTATGCACAGAAACTCCAGTCTTGACTCAATGAAATCTTCCACAGGCCAGTTAGCTCCCCTGAGGGGTTCAGCAGGGAACAGCCAACCTGTAAGTCTCTGATCACAGACAAGTATCAGTCCTTTTTCCATTGTGATTGGAAGATAAGCAAAAAAGAAAAAAAGAGAAATACTATAATTTCGAGCACATCAAAAACATTGTTTCTAGAATACCAGTACCTATATTTTAATGGTTATTGTGTACTGTCCATCTACATAATTTTTAATGAAAAAAGACTCAGATATACATGTATGGACATGTATATGTTTTGTCAGTATTCAGTTTTTTTTCAACTGCATGTACGCGTAGTATTTACATATAAACCACAACTTTCTTTTTTGTCAGTCTAAGAGCTCCTCATCTGTAAGTTCCTATACAAGCTGACTAGATTTTAGTGTGCATTGGCAATTCATGTCATTTCATGATATGCATGCCAGTTAAATCATGCAACACATCAAGTATGTTAAGTAAACATTCATTGAGCATTGTTTGAATTTAATGTTTTTAAATAAAAAAATGAACTTTAAGAAAATGTTGGGTTTTGTTCTTTTAATCTTTTTTTAAAAAATCTTTTTATTTTGTGCTTGAAATTTTTAAATTCTAAAAATTTAACTTTCAGAATTTATTTTTCTTTTTGCTTATTAGATACATGTATTTATGTATGTAAATATATACATGTAACTACTGAACATGATGAAGATATAAAATTCACTGAACTAAAAGACATCTGGGTTATTGACTATGATTATAAATGGCAAATTTTATGGAAAAAAATGTTCAGCATATTTTCATTATCTTCATGGAGATACATTTAAGATGTGTCATATTTCATACAGTATTATCACAATAGTACCCATGTACTTGTATTACTAAACAATTATATATCATGGGTAGCGTAGATCCATCACATATATAACTCTGGAACAATTTTAAGACCTAAGAACAAAATGTATGTTTGTTTACAGTTACTTACAGTATACTGATCCTAATTTTATGCTCTGACAGATTTTTTTTCTGTGTTTTCAATTTGATGGTTTATAGGTGTAAGGTCACTTTTTAGTGGCAATTTTTAGAGCTGTCGGGTAGATTATAAGAAAAAAGTGATTAAGGCTAGAAAAAGAGAGCTTTGAACTGTGTTTAAAAAAAAAAGCATTATATAATTTTATGTAAATGAAATTTAAGAAAAACAACAGCAAAATCCTACCTACCAATCCAAATTTTATTAGCATGTAATATAGGGCTGCAACAATAAATCGCGGTGCACTCAAATAACGATGCAAAGCATTCAAATCAATTTTATTTCAACATCTTCAAGTTGCGATTCCATTCATGTGTACATTTTGGGGTTGGGGGGATTTAAAAAGTTAACATTTTTGTTTTTTTTCTTTACAATTTCTAAGGGCAGAAATGACAGTCACCAATAGTCAAATCTCAGAAATTTGAATTAAAAATCCCAAGGGAACCTTATGTCTCTGCTGTGGAAATATTTTGGCCTGAAAGAAGAGTCAAGTGCCGAAATGGAGAACTTTTTTTTACAGAAATTGATTACAAATCCAGAAATCCAGAAACCTGGTTAATTATTTGAAATAAAAACATAGTATACTGTTTTTGCTGGTGTTTCAAATTATAGTTGCAGTACTTAAAAGTTTAGAATTTAAAATCTCATTTTACGATGAACGTATAATGGGTATTCATAGTTTATAGTTGTCAAACTAAACTCATTTAAATCTAATGTCTTTTCTTGAATTGAGTTATTTATTTGTCTATTCATGTTGACAGGGATGTATATATGCTAACAGATTTATTCAAAAATGTTTTTAAAATCCAGTAAATAAAATTACCACAATACAGTAGAAGCATTGATATAACGAGAATAGAGTATTACATCTCTATGATGGACCAGCTGTAAGCATATGTAAAAATTAAAAAACAAAATGAGAATAAAACAGGAAAGTTGTTATTTCTTATTATACCCCCCGCAAACGAAGTTTAGGGGGGGTATATTGGAATCAGCTTGTCCGTCTGTCTGTCCGTCTGTCTGTAGACGAGATTTTGTCCGGACCATTTCTTGGAAACTGTTGCAAGGATTTGTCTGAAAATTTGTACAATTTTTCTTTGCCATATGAAGGTGTGCACCTGGTATTTTCATCATGATTGGATAATTATTTTGCATTTTACAGGTGTTTTTTTTTCATTTTTATTATGTGGTTTTGTCTGGATCTGTTCTCAGAGACTATTGCATAGATTTGTATGAAAATTTGTACACTTATTATTTACCATATGAAGATGTGCACCTGGTATTTTCAACATTATTTGATAATTTTTCTGCATTTTACAGGTGTTTTTTTTTTTCATTTTTATTGACTTAATGTTTTCGGGTTCATGTCTAAGGTTTGAGACATAGAATTTAGAACAACTGTACAAAAATGGGAATTACAGCTTAAAACTACTCATTAGAACTAAAAAAAAAATCATAAAGTATTAAAAACAGTTTTTACATTACACAGCAGATAGTGTAAATCCATTTGTCCCTTGGGAGTAATGAGTGGACATGCATCCAGTTAAAGATTAATTAATGAGTTCAGTGTGGGAAGCTGTTAGGGCATCTCTGATCAAGCAGGTCTTATCTATATCTCCTGGGAATTGGGCAGAAAGAAATAAAGATCTCTGTTGTCTAAGTCTCTTAATTGTAATTTATGTCTGTCAAAATACATAGTTACTGGAACCAGCCTTTTATTTTTAAAATGAGTTTGATATAAACATGATAAAGGTATTAAGATCAATTTGATTTTGTATAATTAATTATGATTTTTTTTTTTTCAACAATTAATTTGCAGAGTGTCATGTTTCACAAAGATGACAGACAATTGCAAACTATTTTTTCAATGTTATAAAAAAACTGTAATTACTAGTTTTGATGTTTTATTAGGCTGCACCTTAGTTTCATTCATTAAAAAAATATAATGAGTAATTAAATTTTCACTCTAAATGTTTAAGCAAATTTGAACACCTCTCACATCTAGAAAACATTAGTGATTTGGTACCTTCTCTGAAAAACCCAGCGGGGGGTATTTGTCCCTTTTGGACAGTTCTAGTTGTATTATTAGAGCTTTTGATAATTATTGAATCAAAAATACTGTAGACATGGTAGAAGCACAAATTTTCGTGGGGATAAAATTTTGTTGATATGTCATCTAAAAAGGTTTCATTGGCGTTAAATTTCATTGTTTCGAAAGTAACCTTATCTAATATAAGTCATATAAAAATTTGGGTGGGATTTAATTTTGTTGATAATTCTTAACAACAAAATAAACAAAATGTAATTCCCAATGAATATTTCTGCTTTTACAGTAATTAAATCGTGGCCTAAGAAGAAAAATCAAATCATGAAGCACCTGAATCGTTGTAACCTTAACGTAATAGTAAACATATTTTCTTCTTAGGCAAACTAAAATGTCAAAGGAGCATATCATATGTATTAAGACTCCTGGATTAAATCATTAATTTTATCTTTCACAAAGTAAGATGCAGTGTATAATGTAACTGTATAATGGCAAACATAGCAAATATGAAGTTTACAGTAAATTAAATTACTAGACTAAGTATGTTTTCTTTGAAGTTAGTTATTTTACTGGAACACTTTGGATTTATGGTATAGGTGAAATCCAGTCTGAACACAACTGGATCTCTGAAGTCCAATAACCCAAACATGCTCAGTAAGAGTGGGAACCTGACCAGCAGCATGAGTATCCCCATCTACTCTACAGAGTATGAAGAAGACGAGATGGAACGTCCACGAAATGATCTGGATGCTCACGATCTCGCCATGCTCGGATACCAGGTAAAGAGATTAGCTGTAGATTAGGTTATGTTTGTAATTAAATGAACATGTAGCACTGTTAAACATTGCATAAACAGCTAAAAAAAACTTTAATTCTACAAACATTGTGTAGCAAAAGTCCATTTCCACATGTGTATTTGAATGTATTAAAGAATCCTTTTTTACTTGAATATATAGGAGTCAGAAGAGGGGAGTGATAAACTAAAGATTGAAACAGAATCAGAAGACAGTGAAGATTATGGCAAAGACATTGTAAGTACAGTCAGTACTCAGTGGTGTTTGTAAGTACAGTCAGTACTCAGTGGTGTTTGTAAGCACAGTCAATACTCAGAGGTGTTTGTAAGCACAATCAATACTCAGAGGTGTTTGTAAGTACAGTCAATACTCAGAGGTGTTTGTAAGCACAATCAATACTCAGAGGTGTTTGTAAGTACAGTCAATACTCAGAGGTGTTTGTAAGTACAGTCAATACACAGAGGTGTTTGTAAGTACAGTCAATACTCAGAGGTGTTTGTAAGTACAGCCAATACACAGTGGTGTTTGTAAGTACAGCCAATACACAGTGGTGATTGTAAGTACAGCCAATACACAGAGGTGTTTGTAAGTGCAGTCAATACTCAGAGGTGTTTGTAAGTACAATCAATACTCAGAGGTGTTTGTAAGTACAGCCAATACTCAGAGGTGTTTGTAAGTACAGCCAATACACAGTGGTGTTTGTAAGTACAGCCAATACACAGTGGTGATTGTAAGTACAGCCAATACACAGAGGTGTTTGTAAGTGCAGTCAATACTCAGAGGTGTTTGTAAGTACAGCCAATACTCAGAGGTGTTTGTAAGTACAGTCAATACTCAGAGGTGTTTGTAAGTACAGCCAATACACAGAGGTGTTTGTAAGTACAGCCAATACTCAGAGGTGTTTGTAAGTACAGTCAATACTCAGAGGTGTTTGTAAGTACAGTCAATACTCAGAGGTGTTTGTAAGTACAGTCAATACTCAGAGGTGTTTGTAAGTACAGTCAATACTCAGTGGTGCCTGATGATTCAGTGTATCAAAATTAGGACTCAAATACACAAATTAATTTTGACACTTTTATAAATTATCTCTGAAATGTGACATAAATATTGATTGATTGCATAGAAAACTGTATTGCTAAAGTGATTTTTACTGGTGTACATTAAACTGTATCCATAGAAGCAGTTGTGCTGATTCTAAAGTCAGTAGTTTGTCACTTTTGACAGTTTGGTAACATAGCAAACTTCTTCGGAGAGTTTTTTAGTTATGAAAACGGAATTTTGAAACTCCACTATATCATTATTTTCTCTTTTGAAGGATTTTGGGATTGACAAAAATCTGTCAGAGAGAATAATGGACATGGCCATAGAAAACTTGGATCCTGTCAGAGGCTCCTTGGAAAAGGTCTGTCCTTGAACTTAGGTCAAAGATAGAGGAAAAAAATCCTTTAATTTTACTAATTGCTGAAACATGTTTGCTTTGGAAAGAAATATAAAAGAGTGATTAATCTGCCTCCTTTAATTTTGTAATTTTTTTTTAATTTTGTAATTTATAGGATTTTGAAGGCACTATGTCTGCAATGTCCACTGCAAGAGTTGAGTCCCCTGGGGGCAAGATCAGCCCACTGGATAGAATGGAGGAAGAGAGAAGAAGAAGAGCTGAAATGGCTGCCAGTGCTGCAGAAAGGTATTACTATGCACCTTGTATTGTCTTAAAGTAGAACAAAAGAGTCTAACAATTTCTTGTAATTGTTTTTGAAGATTCTATATTCTAATTTAATCAGTTCTTCATTAACCTTGTAGACAATTATAGTTATCTATTCGTTATTACTTTCATTTGTTTATATCGCATTTTAGTGATACACAAACATCATATCTTCTAATTTTTCCTTTAATTAAGACTGAGATATGGAAGAAAAATAAATTCCATTTTCAATAGCTTTATCATTAAAATTATTTCTGCATGAAATCAGAAAAATAAGCATGGTGTTTATTTTACACAGGCGACTTATAAATCAGGATGGTTATCAATCTTATGAAAAGTAGGTTGATCGTGTGAGCTTTCATTGGTGTGTGAAAAAAATCCTGTAACATGCTTTGATAGTGTCTATCAGTCTATCACCTAACTATACCCTTTTCTCAGAAAAAAAATTAACAAATGCTAACCAAGATTTTTTTTTAATTTTTTTTTAATTCAAAGATCAAACTGTAACTGTTTTATTTCACAGATGTTAAATTGGGCATCCATGTAATTTTCCCTATAATCAGTATTTGCTAATATTCACAGTATAATTTTTTGAAATTATCTGCTCTTTTTCTCGAATTTTTCCTGCTTATTTTATCATCCTGTAAGGTTGATTTTATTTTGTTTCTTACTTACTGTATTTACTATTTTTATACCTGTAAATTTAGTATGAAAGAGTAGGGTATTTATAATTAACAAAAAACTTATTTTCAGGAAGTCTGACTTTCGAGAAGAGGAAAACCAACTGCGGGTCAGTAATGACCGATCCATAAAAGAACTCCAGGACAAGCTGCTGAACGAGCTGGAGAGCAAAAAACTAGAGCTCCTGGAGGTAAGCTGATACAAGTCCACGCATTTCCATATGTCCACAAATGTATGCTATAAGAGATCATTTACGTCAATCAAATGGCATTGTCTGAGTGAGCATGATTGATTATAAATCTATGTCAAGTTGTGGGAAAACTGTGTCATGTAAACATTATCCTGTAGATTTACAACATCAGTGTGAATGTACATGTAGTAGATATTTCCCATAATGAATTTCAGTCATTATATTAACATGTTCATGCATCTTCAATCCAAAGTACAGGGATTAAATTTTTTTTTTTTTTAAATTCAACTGCTTTATAGTGTTACATTTTATTTATTGTCTCCGTCCAGTTTGACTACTAACTTAATTTGATACATTAGATAAGTGACAGATTTCTTGATATTATTACAAGAAATGAAAGTAACGGTAATTGTAACTTTCAGGAGAAGGATGCCAAAATAAGGAAACTACAGGATGAAATTAAGAGAGAGTTGGCTGAGGAGGAGAGAAAGATAATGAGAGACAAGGAGGACCAAGTCAAGTAAGTCATATCAGTCTTATCTGTCATACCAAGTCAAGTAAGTCATATCAGTCTTATCTGTCATACCAAGTCAAGTAAGTCATATCGGACTTTATCGGTTCTGTCATACTTATCAAGTCAAGTTAGTCATATCAGTCTTAATCAATTCTGTCATACTTACCAAGTCAAGTAAGTCATATCAGTCTTAATCAGTAAGTTAAATAAGTCATATCAGTCTTAATCAGCTGATTCTGTCATATTTACCTTGGATTTCATCTTATATTTCAAAGAGGGTGTGATCATTTTTTAAATACATGTACATTAAAAAAGGCCAGTGTCTTTACTTTCATATTCATCTTTTATGCCTCACATATGTATCAGGGAGCTAGAGACTAAAGTAAAAGAGGAATTAGATAGACTCCAAAGAGAATTAATGGACAAAAATAGTGACCAGATTAAAATACTGCAAGAGCAGAATGATCATGAACAACAAGAAAAAGAGTCAGAGATTCGGTAAAAATAGCAAAATTGGTGTTGTTATGTATGCATGTTTGGATAGAATTGTGAAAGTCTTGTTTATGTTCTTGTTCTGCTCCAGATGGGTTGTTAATTATAGCTCACATCTCAAAGAATTGAATTTAGTAGAATGTACTTGTAAAGTAAGCATGCATGCTAAAATGTTTCAGTGAATGGCATATCTGTTAAATGTTTCACATATTTATGCTGTAAGAGGAAAAGTCATTTACGTGGCACTGTCTGGGCATGAGTGATTATAAACCTATGTCAACTTGTGTGTAAAACTGTGTCATGTAAACATCTGGTAGTTTCATTATGTGTGAATACAGCAGACATTTTTCTTATGTGTAAAAAGTGTAATACAATTACCGGTAAGTCAGGCATTCAAAAGTCTTTCAAGAAACCAATTACAGTTACAGTATCTACATACCACTAATTTAATGAAATACATGTACATGTTAAGTATATAAGTAAATAAAGAATTAGCTGTCTAATAATTTCTCAAAAATGCTGTATTATAGTTTAAATTTGGGTGTGTTCCAAGTTTTCATTTGTTCCCTTTTATGGGTGTTCCAACATGTAAACATCTTAAAAAAGTATTTATAACAGAACTTTTGACTTAAAAATATTCACAGTTTCCTGACTTTTTAACTATTTACATATTTCTTCTTGGCTGCATTTAAATGACTCGTAGAATTTCTTTTTTTAAAGTCAATTCACTGCATGCATATATAAGTAATTAACTGGTAAATAAACATTTTCAAAGAGAAAGACTACATGTGTTTACTTTTGGTTGCAGTAGTTTTTCAAACTTAAAAATTAAAATAAAATAAGACTTAAAAACTTATAATTTACTTAAAAATTGAGAATATCTAAAAAGTTATGTTACAAAGTTGCTTATTAATTTAAACATTTATTTATAAAACACAAGAATTGATAGAAATGCCAGAATTAGAGAGTGCACAGTCATGACCTATCAGAGCGAAATATATTTTAGTGCAATTTGACGTCATTTTAATCGTGACGTTATTGTATTCAATTGTGATGGCAATCAAGGGTACTGTGACAAAGTTGCATGAAAAACATATGCACAGACCAAGTAGGTTGGGCCTCGTTAAGAAGAAAGTGTGTTATTTGATGTTTTAAAATCTACAATTAAACTGAAGTCTTCCATTTTATTGATTAACTGAATCAGACAAAATTAAAATGGTCGCTAAAAATTCCTGTCGTAAGGTAGTATGGCATTAGAATTATATCTATTAATATACCTGGTTAAAAACTTTAAATCAACATTTCCTTGATCTTGTCATACTAATGTACGATGTCACTGATTTGTTAGACGCAAAGTCTTGAGAAACAGAGAAGTGGATCAACATATTTCATATAATTTTTGTTACTGACATATATATAAAAGCTTGAAAAAATCTAAATACATGTTTAAGCTCAACAATTTATTAAAGTTTTACACATACATGTATATTGACATTATAATAATGTTTTGTATCTGTAGTGTATTCATTTTACAAAGTCATTGACTTGGTCAATAAAGTCATGCAGCCATCTTTAATTATGTTAATACTTAATATAGTTTGCCCATCACAGAAATTTGCAACCAGGTTGCATGTTTGTATATATGTTTCAGAAAGCAGATGGAGTCTGCTCTGGAGAAGCTGAGGAATGAAGTGGGGTCTCTACAGAGAGAGGAACAGACAAAACTGGAGGAGGAAAAGAAAAAGTGTCTAGAGAGGCTACAGCAACAGGTAAACAGGCATAAACTGGGGGAGGGGGGGTCTCTACGGAGAGAGGAGCAGATCAAGCTAGATGAGGAAAAGAAAAAGTGTCTGGAGAGGCTACAGCAACAGGTAAACAGGCATGAACCGGGGGGAGGGGTGTCTCTACAGAGAGGAACAGAACAAGCTAGAGGAGGAAAAGAAAAAGTGTCTGGAGAGGCTACAGCAACAGGTAAACAGGCATGAACCGGGGGGAGGGGTGTCTCTACAGAGAGGAACAGAACGAGCTAGAGGAGGAAAAGAAAAAGTGTCTGGAGAGGCTACAGCAACAGGTAAACAGGTGAAAAGGGGGGGGGGGGGTGCATATAAAGGACATGTTGCAGTATCAGGTAATATTGATATATGCTGCAGTATCAGGAAATGTAGGTGTGTGTATTAATTCAGAAGTACATGTAATGGTTGGCAAAGACAACAACACATGAAGAGGGCATTGTAAGTTCAATGAATTGTGGATATTTTAATCTGCAGATGTTTCATTGTAACATAAGGATTAAATGTGTTATTTACAGGTTAAAGAAGCTGACACTGATGATATTCTTGTCTTTGACCTCTGAAGCTTTCTATTAGAACAATTTTGTCTTTTTAAAAAAATAACTCATATTTACCAACATTTCTTCTGTGCCCATATTAACCATATCTTATGGAATATGCAACAAGATTATTACAGCTTGTTTACATTGAATACACTACCTTGAGCATTTTAACTATGTGTGTATCTTGAGAGGAAAATATACTTAAACAATATTATTGTTGACTTTAGGTTGAAACTGCTACAGCTAGTGAACAGAAGAGACTAGAGAACCAAAAACAGGAAGCCATAGAAAGCATGCAGTCCAAACAGAAGTATGAGCTGGAAAACATTAAGGAGGACCTGGAGAGGAAACATAGAGAGAAGTTGGATAGGATGAGGACAGAGCAGTCCGAGAAACATGAAGAGGTAATTTTAGAGGAGGGGATCTACATGTATAGGGGGTGGAGGGAACTCATGAAGAAGGTAGTTAAAATGAGGACAGAGCAGCCAGAGGAAGGTGAAGAGGTAATCATAGTGGAGGGGATCTATAGCGGGCGAAGGATAATTAGAGGTGTATAGGATGAAGACAGAGCAGTCAGAAATCTGAAGAAATGGTTATAATGGAGGGAGATCTATGGGTGTTGGAGGGGGAACTCAATAAAGAAGGTTATTATAAGGAGGAGCTGTCTGAGAAACTTGAAAAGGTATTTGGAAAGAAGAGGGATTGATAGTTAAGGGCAACAGCATGAAGAAGGAAGCTGGAATGAGAACAAAGCAGTCTAAAAAATATGGGGAGGGGTTACCTGTAGTTATAGTGGTGGGGATCTATTAGTGGATGTATGCTATATATATATATACATATATATATATATATATATATATATATATATATATATATATATATATATATATATATATAAAGCAAAACAAAAAGAATTACATATGTAAATGTTAATACTAATAATTTACAAGAAGAATTTTGTGCATGTATTAAAAAGAGGAACAGGTTCTAATCTTCCAGGTTAATGCATAATGTAGAATGTATTGATTCTAAAACTTTGGTGACATGTTACAGGAGATAAAGAGAATAAAGGATGAGATAAAACGCCTACAGGAGCAGGAGAGGGAACAAAGGGAACAGGAGCTAGAGATGGCTAGGCAGAGGCAGAAGGCCATCGATGATCTAGACAGAGGGGTAAGTGTCCACTGACAATTTTTACAGGGAATGGGGAGGATAAATTACAGAAAGAGATTTCTGACTACTGACAATTTGACAGAGGTCAGATTTTACAAAATACACAATAATGTTGTTTAATGTTTACCATCTTTTAGTTTTCAAAATATAAACAATAGATGTTCAGTATGAAGTTAATGTTAGGAAAATAGAAAACTTACAGGATTAACATATTTATTTATTAAGTTTTGAAAAATTAAGAGGAGATTTTTTTGCATTATCAGTTGGATGAAGTGTTGTCAGAGAGGCGACATGAAATCAAACAGCAACAACAGAAGGAGTTGTCCAGACTTCAGGAAGAGCATTCCACCAGACTACGCAAAATACGCCAGGATTACCAGGACCAGGTAAGATAATATACACCAGACTACGCAAAATACGCCAAAATTACCAGGACCAGATAAGCTAATATACACCAGACTACACAAAATATGCCAAGATTACCAGGACCAGGTAAGATAATTTACCCCAGACTTAGCAAAATATGCTGGGATTACCAGGTCCAGGTAAGATAATTTACACCAGACTAAGCAAAATATGCCGGGATTACCAGGTCCAGATAAGATAATATAAACCAGACTACACAAAATATGCCAGGATTACCAGGTCCAGGATTTTCCTTCCTTACATGTTTAAAACATATGCAATCAAAATAACAGCAACAACAGAATGGATAAAATGAGTTACATTTACATGTGTATCGAATCGAAATTGTTTGTCCTTGGCACTCAATTTAAGCATGTTTTACTGTATACACTATACAAAATACAATAGGAGCAATTAAAACTAATATACATGTACCTCAGTGGAGTGGTTAATATTATGCATTTCATGAGAGTGTTTAATATTCTGTAGGAATATTTCATCCATATTTTTCAACAAGTACACCAAAACGGGTTTCTCTGCTTCAAGGAAAAAAGCATCAAGAAATAAAGTGCACTGTTTATAACTTAATTATTAGTGTTTTATTTTAGTCACTTTTATTTTCAGGAAGGGGACGAGAAAAAACTTTTAGAAGAGAAACTGGAAGCAGATAAGAAGAAAATGCAGAAACAGTACGAAAGAGATTCTGATGACATCTGCCGAACTTATGAACGCAAGAAAGAATCTCTGTCCGAACAGTTAGAGGACGAGGTAAAGCCTTAAGGATGCCTCATAAATTACATTAATTTCTCTGAGTCTGCATTTAATTATCTCCCTACATCTGCTTTAATTAGAAATACTTGTGATGCTAATTGAGAAAATAAAACACAATCTTGGATTTTTTCTTTCAATGGAAGTTGAAATTTACTGTGGCGAGTACAAAGGACAAGCTAGACAGAAATGTCCTAGTGGGACAGGTGATATGTGCATGAATGTACAAAACTATAAAGTCACATTACAATGTCCTAGTGGGACAGGTGATAAGTGCATGTCAATGTACAAAACTAAGTCACATTACAATGTCTTAGTGGGATAGGGATATATCACAGCTTATTTGACATTTAAACTTTAAAAGAACACATTTCAATATGTTATGTTCCATTCACAAATTCAGTTATTCTTAATTATTATGTATATACATGTATCATATGACAATTTTGAGTTGCATTTTATTTATATGTACTTCACTTTTACTGTAAATAGTATTGGCTTTCTTTCCTGATAACAGACATGAAAATTAATGGTAGAAACAATTTGAGAGAAAACTGCATGGCTTGTGAAAATTTTATTTTTAAATGCATCTGAATGACAGCAAGCTTCTAACTGTAATGACATTTCCAAAGGTTGTTTGCAAGAGCCAAAAAAAGGTGTATGGTACATCTGTAAATATTTTACTTGTACTGTAAACAAAAACATTTACATCCTGAGTTTCCATAAAAGAATAACAATTTGCTACATGTACATGTATAAAGTTATTGAGACATGATACTTTATGTGTGAATGATTCTCTAAAAAGGAAGAAGAGTTCCAGGACAGAAGAGCAGAATTAGAGAGAAAAAAGATGCAAGTTGAGAAGGAATTCAAAAACTTAGAGACACAGGTATTTAAAAATATTGATGACTAAACTTACTTCTGTTTTTCTCAACAAATGCTTATTTTATAAAAAGCTTACAGGGACAGGTATCCAAAAATTTACTTTAATTCTGTTTTTGTCAACAATATTGAATTATTATAAGCCAATGGTACATGAAAATACATGTATAAAAACATATATTTGATTTTCTAGGAAAGAAAACTAGAAGAGAAGAGGAAGCTCTTCCGAGAAAATACAGCCAGTTTTGACAGGGAACAAGATGTACGTTACATTATAATATTGTACTTACACTGCATCTCAGTATTGAAAAAAATATTTCAAATTTAATTTGAATTAATTTCTTATTGATTAGGAAGCATTTGGCAGTAGGACCAGTAATCTGAGTGCCAAGGAACTGGAGAGAATGAAAGAGGAGAGACGTCAATATCAGGAGGAAATCCAACAGGAACGAGAGGAACTCGACCAACTGAAGGCAGAAAAACGGGCGCTAGAGGAAGAAGTCACAAAACTCAAAATGAACAAAGAACAGCTCATCCGAAAACTTCGGTAAGTTTCATATAGAGAAGTTAAAAGGCAACCAAGGAAACAAGACTGGAATCTGCACAATTTGCCATCATTGAATCATCTATAGTTTATGTTTGATATAAATTATTTAGGTTAAGTTATTACCCTTATTTCAAAATTGCTAGGATACATGTACTACTTCAAATTGTGAAGTTCATATACATGTATAAAGGATTGAAATGTAAATTGTCTATCACATTTTTTTTTATTTGATAGTGACTTAAAGGATAGAATAGACAAGAAAGGTAAAGATATTGATCATCTGAACCAAAAAATCATTGATGCTGCGGAGGAAACCAAGTCCATGGCTGAGGAGAGAATGAGAGCCACCCACACGATAAGGCGTCCCCCACACCATGTCAGGCTAGACAGTGTAGATGCAGAGGAGGATCTTATCAGTGGTAGGTGGATCCAGTTTCTAGGGGAATGGGAGCGAAGGACCAGTTTAATACATTGTAAATGAAGAGTATTATGTTTAAGGATTATTTTTTGATGTGCATTTTACAGATATTCCAGAGAGGCAGCATAGAAAGAAATTCAGCTTTGCTGAGGATAGAACTGATGATGATGTAAGAGCTAAGATTTTTTTTACAAGTGCCTTTTGGTTTAGTCAAAGATACATGAATTAATTGCCTTTTGGTTTAGTCAAAGATACATGAATTATAAGTTTGTAATATTGACTTTGAAATTAACTTTCAGGATATATCCTCCATGACCGGCAGATACTGGCAGGATCTTCTTACGGAAGAAGACAGCACTTTCGAAAACATTCCTATAGAGAAGCAGAACTATGGGTATGAATGTCATTGAAGAGTGGGAGGAGGGAGAAATCTAAACAGTACAACATTTGGCTTATGAAAGATAATACTTTGTGATGAAAGTTTTCTTTCTCCATTTTTCAGGGAAGTGAAAGTTCAGATTGCAAAAGAGAACGATTCAATACTAATGGCCAAAGAATTCCTCAGGAAGCAGAGACAATCACTAAAGAGAAGACATGCGGCTCTGTTGGCTGCCAAGCAGGAGTTGATGAAGGACGTCATAAAACAGAAACAAGGGGTAAGCTAAAGCCTTTATCTCCATGGCTCAGGTTTTACCATCTGGCAGCAAGTGAGAATGTCTGAGATAATCAAAATTATTTTTCTGGACGATCTAGATATGAATGATTTCTCTGGTCTTAAAATAAAAACTGTGTATTGGAATTGTTTTGTTGCAGAACACATTTGATTCACCCTCTAATCAGCCCCAGGGGCATGTGCGATTTGTAAGGGAACTTTGAATCTTAGCTTGTGGTGAATCATGCTTGCATGTCCTCCTTTAAATGTACATTTGTGTAACCCTCCAACAAAGTTGTAGGGGATAATGGAGTCACCATGTCTGTATGTCTGTCTCTATGTCCTGGGGTAGATGCAACATTAAGTTTTTAGGTTACATTTCTCTTTATCTTTTGGAGTACCCAAACCAAATGTGCAGCTATGATGCATCTACAGATACTTCGTGTGATGCCCTGATAATACTGCATGTGACTTGCAGCTTGTACTCGGGTTATAGCTTGTTAAAGACAAGGTTAAGCTCAACATTTACATATACAGTCATGTAGACTATTTTTAATCTCAAAGGATATCCAGATCAAACTTGCAGATAAGGTGTATGCTGGAGCACTCAGTATAATGCATCCTCCTGATGCTGCATCTGACCTTCATTTCTTGCTTTAATGATTCAGAATTTACATGTAGGTCTGTTCTTACTTATATTTACATGTACAGGTTATATACTTAGCATTTAGGCAACTAACTTTGCAGTGTATCCCAAGGGAAATACAAACCAAACCTATGCATATGGTGCATCTGTGGGTGTTTACTTTGATGCTATATCCTACCTATATTTTATGCTTGATTCACTGATCTGCTTCATTGAACCATTATTTTACACCTCAGTGGATCAGAAGAAAGAGAGGATAAAGTTCATTCTTAGCTTATCACAGATCACCTAGATAGCAAAAGTGTAATGATGTGTCCTTGTATTCATGGTTGATGCAGTATTTGGATATGTTTAAATCATGCTTCATTTAGGGGATTAGTTTGGTTTGGACAACTCCTATCTTTTGGTTGGTTGGTTGGTTGGTTTATTTTTTTTTCTAACGGAATGTGAAAACCAAAATAAAACAAAAAAGTCCTGATACATTTAGCTAGGCAGAGAGATTTTAAACCATCTTGTACCAGGTTATTAACATGTTTTGTGTGATAGTCATTAAAATCATTTCTACTAATACAAACAAACATCCAGATGTATTTTGTATATGTATCAATAAAAACTGTATTTCTCATGTAAAAGAAAACTATATAGAGGAGGTCAAAGCACATCTTCACTTGCCAAGGGTTTCCGATCTGAAATCTACTCTAGGTTTCAGATCAGAAACCCTTGACAAGTGAAGATGTTCAAAGAAAGGTCCATATAATAGAACTGCATGATAAAATTTCATTTAAATATCTACTTGTAATCACTAACAAAAGCATTGGCAATTGGAATACAGTATACATAGTGTATATGATTATATAGTATCATTCATATATGTATTTAAAGAGAACAAACATATACAGTGGCGCCTCGTTAATCCGGACGCCTCCGTCCCCAACGAAATCGTCCGGATAAATGAATCGTCCGGATAAGTGAATCACTTCTTAAAAGACGTACCCTCTTAAAGCATGTACATATGAACATAGTGGTATCAAATGTGAAGGCAAAGAAAACACCTTTATTTTACCTTGACTTATTGATTTCATTTTTATAGTTTTAAAAGAAATAATAAATATTTAAAAAAGAAAAAAATTTAAAATGTAATTTACACGATGAAAAATGGATAGGCAGTTTTATGTTGAGACTTCCTTTTCTAACACAGGAAACTTTACTCGCCTTCTATTTGACGTGTAGTTACATGGGCTGACCAAATTTTGATCTGCTACTGTTTTATTTCGGCACATTTTTTTTTATTTATTCAAGCTCATATTAAGTAGAACTGTTCATTATCACCATTGAGAATGTTCAAATGACTAACCGCGTATATTCACTACATAGGGAAGTAAGTAACTAAATACTGCAATCAGTGTACGTATTGCAAACATTCAGCGTAAACACAAGCCATATTCAGGATAATCAATACTTTTTCTATAAACTCTTAAGTTATATATCTTGAAAAGACGTGATCGGCATTTATAACTAACGCCAGTTACGTATTTCTTATTGCATTAATAGAGATATATATTTTTTGAATTATGTATCATAATATTAAATTGTCTTATGAAAAGAAAAAAAAACGTTTCAAATAATGTACGATCGTATTTTGATAAACTTACGCAACACGATATCACAACGAAATCTCGTGATTTATTATTCAGTAAAATATTTTATTTACAGCTCTCCAAAATTCTCATATATTTGTATATCGTTAGCAATTTAATTAATGCACAATATAAGCTAAATTCTTCGGGCTTCATAATATAAAAGACGTGTGTTTTATTTGAGGTAAACACACGCTAATTATAGACGCTATTGTTTAGAGGTCACATGTAACCGCCTTCAAACTGACTCCACGGACAATGTTTTTACAATAATTATCACTACTGCAAGAAAGGTGTGAAAAGTCGTTCCTCGAAAAATTACCGTCCGGATAAACGAGTCATTTTTCAACGAAATATTACGTTTTGTAGTAGAAATTGACCGTCCGGATCCGGAACGCAAATTTCCGGATTAATGAGACAGGATAACGTGGAAAAAATTGGTTCCCAAAAAATATCGTCCGGAAGGTGAAGCGTCCGGATTATTGGCGTCCGGATTACCGCGGCGCCACTGTAGACTAAAATGTCCCTGTAGATAGTTTAAATCAGGGATATCTGGTATTAACAATCTGTTTTGTGTTGATTAATACATGTGTCAAAAATTGATGGGTGTTTGAAGTTGTCTGCATTATTACTTTTATCAGTTTTAAAAAGATACTGTTACATACATATATATTTTCAGTACAAACGTGTATATCATCACATGATCAAAATTTCAAATAAAAAAAACTATTCATGTCAGGCACAATTTTTATTTGTTTAAGATTATAAAGAGAAATTTTTGAAGGATGTTACAAGTAATTTCAGTTCAATGTACATGTGGGTTGTGGTTTTGCAGAACCTCCCCTCTGATAGTCCCCATGTCTTGGAGGAGGTGAAGCAGAAGCTAGATAAGGAATCTATGGACATTGATCACATGGAATCACAGGTCAAAACTGGTTCTCGTCTCGTGAAGGAGAAGGAGAGGCGAGTACGGCAGATGAGTAGCAAGCTAAATATTGAGGTAGGTTTCTTCATAAGTACAACTTGTAGACCAATATATTTTATAATTATTATATAAGTTGAAGTGATGGTTTGCTGTTAAAAAAAAAAAAAAAAAATCATCATTAGTTTTAGTCTGTGACATTCATAAATTTATTATTTCTTTTGTTAGAATTTTTGGAAAAAAGTTTAATGTAACTGTAAAACAATTAAATGAATGAAAAAAAGGAATATGCACTCTTTTGTAGTCTGGCAGTGAGGAGGAGTATTCTCCCTTTGAACACCATTGGCGGCCAGCCAAGATTCCAAACTGTGACTTGTCTGATGATGAAAGCAGTGGAGTTAGTAGCACAGACAACAGTCTGGATAATGTCCTCAAAGGTAACAGGTCTTCTTTCACAAAGTAAATAACAAACTAAAAAGAAATAAATATTTAAAATTAAAACATACATTGTTTATGAAAGGAATATGTTCTTTTTCTTTAAGCCTTACAGAAGCAAAATGCTAGAATACAAAATGGTACTCCATTAATGTCCACATTACGGTCTGAGGGAGATCCCATTGCCCAATCCCTACAAAGAATTAACTCTGATTTGGCCAAAGTAATAACAATGATTGGGAGCAATGGAAACAACAGTCTACAGGGTGAGAAAGAATGTTACTGAGAGATTTGTAAGAGTTACTGTTCTTATAACAATAACTAGGCAGAACAAAATGTGAGATTGGAAAAAATTCTCTAAAGTATCATAATCAATTGAAAATTTTTGTTCCTTGTCACTTTTTACATGTATCATTTTTACAAATGAAGCAGTAACAATATCAGTATATGTAGAAGGTTCGTTTGCACTGAACTAAATGTAACACAATAATTTTCATTTATTTTGTAGGAATTAATGATAAGCCTGGGAACTATGTTCCTATATATGCCCCGTCAGCCCCGCCCAGTTTGCTAGGGAGTACAGTACCTGCTTCCCCAATCCAGGCCTGGACAACATCAAATCCCTACCTGTATGTATCTGTAAAGATAAAGTTTGGTGTGTATTATAATCTGGTATCATTTTTTTGTTCTCATTTGTAATTTTTGTTGAATGATGTTTTATAGACAAAATCCTCAGCACAAGATTGATTATTCCACCCTAGTTATGAATGCAGAACAATCATTAGAGAGAAAATGGAGAAAGTATTTTGGAGGTAAACTTTTATTTATGCAGTACTGAAGAAAGTTCATGTTCTGATAATATGATGTAATCCAGTCATTTAACCATCTGTTGAATCTTAGTTATAATTTTACTCTTCTGAAGTAATTGTATCCTAACATTGATAAAGCTCATTTTATTGCAGATCGCCGCCCACCTCTAACTAGTGCTGTGCCAGGAACTTTCACAATTTCTTCAGGGCCTGTACCAGTCAGGTATGTTCATAGGTAGAAATTAATATCTTCTGTTGACTTAAAAAAATAACAAGTTTGGAATTAGGACTTTTTCAGTTAAAAAAATAAATATTCTCTATCCCCCTGGATGGCAAAGAAAGGGGTGCTAATGAATAAGCTAGGTTATTTAACTGGCTAGTTCACATCTACCCATGGTACTACTTTCAGAAATATCTTCTGACTCAGCCTTAATAAACATAGGAAATAAACATGGCTATAATTTGTTTCCTCTTTAAAATGTAGACAAGGTTCTTGAAAGCATGGTTAGAATTTACAAAGTCAATTTAAAATATACAAAATTTTAGCAAATCCATACTGGCAATGAAGAGTACATGGAATCTCAAGCCTGATTTATTTTTGGATTATTTCTATTTATGTTCCAAGGTTGTTATTGTTGGTACTGAGGTAATAAACTAATGAACAACTGCATATGCTAAGAGATTTGCACATTTAATAATATCTCATTTGTAATGTAAACTTTTATGACATTTATTAAACTACTTATCTATAGACTACATTGTATTTAAAAAAAAATAGCAAAAAAAAAAAATCACAACCAAAAATTTTATATTAAACAAATTAATAACTTCTAACCTTGGTCCTTGTATTTAAAAAAAGGAAATCTATGCATGGTCCCCATTTAAAAAAAAAAAATTCTGATTACAGAAGTTTTTTTAAGTCCAATTTTCTACTAAAATGATTTGTTTGATGTATTCTGACCAACCCGTTAAAATTGCCCCACCCGATCTTTTTTTTTTTTCAGTACTTTTTTTTAAAATAGGAAAATTCAGATCATCAGTATTGGTTTTTTTTTTTTTTTTTCATTTTAACGAAACCATCAATAGCTTTCTAAGTTTGTGATTTTTTTTTTGGAAGTTTATCAATGTGTTAGGTACCCACATTGAAAAAAATATGGATCATAGTACATCAAACAAAAAATTTTTAATGATGGCTAAGGCCATAAGTTCAGTTTTCTTTTTGTTTGGTTTCTAAACAAGACTAACGACTGATAATTGACAAATCTTTCTTCCTCTATTTCTCCTTAAAATTATTAAAGGAATAATTTGTTTCAACCTTACAGAGAACAGCTCAGACAGTACCGCATTAGTCTCCACCAACAGTTACCTTCATCTAGCACCACTCAGGACAAACTGGCAGAGCAGAAGGAGTGGCTCCGAAAATTTGGTCAGGACTTAAACCTTGGCTCCTCATTTATCCATCCCCCACAGTCAGATCAGGGCTCAATGTATCCTTCTGTCGATAGCCACAATTTACGGTAATTAATTAGGAAGGGGGGAGAATTTGTAGAATATTTATTTATACATGTAGATAAATTGAAAATACATTAATTTTCAAGATCTGTACAAACATTCTTGTTAATTTTGTTATGGAGTAGTACACTGTCTATGAAGGAAATAGTTTTGCTAGTTTATTAAAGATACCAGAAACCAGGCATATTTTTAGCAGGTAGAGGGGATATACAGAGTGTTAGAGTTGTGTGTGCATGGTTTGGGCTGTTTGCAGTAGTGCTATTTCAAAGCTGTCATTGTCAGAATATGCTTACGTCATAACAAACATGCATTTACTTGAATATAGAAGCTGTAACAGAATTTCATTAGTCCTTAACCTTCATTAGTAATCACTAGTAATGTGTGCTCAGAAAGGTTTTGTGTTCGGGAAAACTCTGTTGTTGCAAGGTGCCAAAACAAGCCAGGACTGTGTAGTAACTAGAGCCACTTACATCTGATTTAATCATTTGTTAATATTTTAATGCTTTTTTATATACACATTTTCATTGTTCTTATTTGCAATTGTTCACATGCAACAATAACATGTATCATTTTCTACCTCACAAATGTATTGGTCTTTCTTATTAACATAAAGCTTTGTTTAATTGTACATTTTTTTGTATACCCTAGTACAAGGCCTGTTTTATCAATCATTAAGCACTCATTCTTTGGCTATAGCTGACAGATTGTCTGTTAGATTAAGCTGTGTTCTTCTTTACTCACATTCTATGCAGTACTAACCAAAAAGTATGCACGATTTTGAAAATTGATAGCACTGAAAATGTTGAAATTATGCACAAAGGTGTTTATCAAAAGAATTTTACACCAGTCACAAGTTTTCTATCAAAAACTTAAGTGGATCCAAAAATTTTCGATTTCGTACTTTATTATATATTTGGATCTGCTTAATCAAGTGTGTGAAGCCGTGAATCACCTGAGTTAACCTTAACCCACTAACCTAGAGACAGCCTCATGCTCCGTTCCCAGGTAAATGACACAGAACCATTGTCTTCCACGCCTCAGCGATGCCCGTCTGTCCCGGGAGTCACTCGACTGGAACTGGATGAAAATGATGAAATCAGAGTGAGACATTTCTAGAGCTGTCAAAAAAAATGCATGAAAAATGAACCAAGATAGCAATGTAACTATATGTACTTAATAGTGTTAGTGATTGCAGAATACTGGATGAAATTTCTTGCAAGTTCGGAATTGCAATGTAAAAATATACAAATTTGTATCTCAGAAATGAGAATGTATTTTTGATTAAGAGTGGAAGTTGTGTTTTTTGGTACCATGATATAGTTTTGCATTTTTTCTGAATGCGCTTATTTGAGCGAGACAGAAATTCCCTGAATAAAGTTTGGGAATAAACTGAACCAAATTTTTTTAAGATGCAAGAAAACAAAAACAAATCATGATTGTGATGTAAATGTAAGTATGTGTATGTACTAGTAGTAAGGTATAAGAGAAGACATTTCTACTGTGTTCACAATGTCTGCATAGATTTATAAACTGCACTGGATTTTTGCAAGAATGGAAATATATTTATACATATGATCTGTTTTGTAGATGGTTGTAGCATGGGTATAATATATTCTTTCACAGATAGATATTTTTCCCAGTTGGAAGAATAATTCCTACTTGTATGATCATTGTGATTGATATTGTCATTTTGTCTTTTGCATTTTGTCTTAATGAAAACAAGGTTTAAATTCATGTAAATGTACCATATATATATATATAGTGTTTTTTTTATTACTGCAAGAAAGTCCATTTCAACGAAAACTGAATATTCCTTCCGTTCGGAATAGTGACACAGCCTTATACACTGAATATCTCATATCAAGCATTTGTATTGTGGAATGATTTATCCCACCATTTGTAAACTGATAATTCGTCCAGGTATATTTTTATATGTTCTACCCTCACATATTCAGCATTACAACTTTTTATTCGGTCTTTATTCATCTGAGCCAGAAGCCTAAATGAGTTTTTCTGATGAAAGTTTGTTGTAAGTCTGTCATAAATAATCTGGTGTCAAAAGCTTTGTAAATTTCTTTATTTAAAAAAAAAAAAAAAAAAACAGGTCTAATTGCAGTCAAACTTGGCACAAAGCATCCTTGAGTGAATACAATTCATTCAAATAAAGGTCAAGTCTCGTTTGTAGACCTCTTGAGAAAGAACTAAAATTTTTTTTTTTTTTTTTTTTTTTTTTTTTTTTTTTTTTAATGAAAATAAATACATATACTATATCAGATTCCCAATGTGATACTTGTCTCAGATCAAGTGGAAGAATAGAGTCCAGTTTGGATTTAAATGTATCCTCTTTTCTCTCAGACAACTTAATGGAATCCTTAATATGCAAATATTTATGCCTTTTTACTAAAGGTTTGGGCCACAGGAGATTTCATTCTGTAGAAATGTTTGCTAACAAGAGAGCCATATGACTTAGGTGACTGTTGTGGCCCTTGAGTTCATTGTTATAATTTTACAATAAAATTCTTTACCTAAAAGTAGGAGAGCATGCTCACATATTGGGTGAAGAATCAGCCTTGCAATTTTGTAGTGAAAAAGGTTTTACAAAAAGATATTACTGTGTAAGTGTTGGGTAAAAGCAGACCAATATTTTTGAGTTTACTATGAAAAGAGTGCTGTTTTATTTATAACTCTGAAACTCTGTGATAGAATGTTGTTAATTATCATGAAATCTCATTTGTTACAACAATAAATATAGCAAAATATTTTATGAATTGCTTTATTTGTTTTGAAGTTGTTTGAGCAGTGAAAGATAACCCCAACCTTGAAATTTGAAAGAAATTCACTTGCTGTACAAGATTTACTGTAACGGGGCTTCATAAAACCAAATGTGGGGCTTTATCAGAAAACCTATGAAGGATCAAAGGGCTAAAGTTATGATCATTTTTGCAATGTGTGTCAACTGTTTGGAATGTAGGCCATTTCTGAAGAACCCTTCGGCAATTTTTTTTATTAAATTTGTCACAGAGAGTCTTTGGCTCAAGAGCTTTCATTGATGCTAAAAAAAATAAGAATGTAACTCTTGGACAAGGGGAGATAATTAGGGAAATAAAAAATGATTTTGATCCCCTAGAGGCCCATAGATATGCCAAATCGGAAGCAAGTCAAGGTGACGCTGTAGTGCAATTCATAAAAGGAGGATTCTAGGCCCTTGTTAGCTCTACTGGTCAGAGACCAGAAGAGCTTATGCGATAGTAAGGTGTCCGTCTGTCTGTCTGTAAACAATTTTTCAAAACGCTACTCCTCCTACAGTTTTGGTCCGATTTCAGTATAACTTGGCACACAAGTAGACTACACTAAGATACATAATTTAGTGCATCGGTTTTTGATTTCAATGAACGGTGTTGCCATGGTTACTAAAAATAGAAATTTCTGTGAAATTCCAATAAAACGCTACTCCTCCTACAGTTTTGGTCCGATTTCAATATAACTTGGCACACAAGTAGACTACACTAAGATACATAATTTAGTGCATTGGTTTTTGATTTCGATGGACGGTGTTGCCATGGTTACTAAAAATAGAAAATTCTTTGAAATTCCTTTAAAACGCTACTCCTCCTACAGTTTTGGTCTGATTTCAATATAACTTGGCACACAAGTAGACTACACTAAGATACATAATTTAGTGCATCAGTTTTTGATTTCAGTGAACGGTATTGCCATGGTTACTAAAAATAGAAAATTCTTTGAAATTCTTTTAAAACGCTACTCCTCCTACAGTTTTGGTCTGATTGCAATATAACTTGGCACACAAGTAGACTACACTAAGATACATAATTTAGTGCATCGGTTTTTGATTTTGATGAACGATGTTGCCATGGTTACTAAAAATAGAAATTTCTGTGAAATTCCTTTAAAACGCTACTCCTCCTACAGTTTTGGTCTGATTGCAATATAATTTGGCACACAAGTAGACTACACTAAGATACATAATTTAGTGCATCGGTTTTTGATTTTGATGAACGATGTTGCCATGGTTACTAAAAATAGAAATTTCTGTGAAATTCCTTTAAAACGCTACTCATCCTACAGTTTTAATCCGATTTCAATATAATTTGGCACACAAGTAAACTACACTAACATACATAATTTAGTGCATCGGTTTTTGAATTCAATGGACGGTGTAGCCATGGTTACTAAAAATAGAAAATTCTGTGAAATTCCTTTAAAATACTACTCTTCCTACAGTTTTGGTCTGATTTCAATATAACTTTGCACACAAGTAGACTGCACTATCATACATAATTTAGTGCATCAGTTTTTGATTTCAATGAACGGTGTTGCCATGGTTACTAAAAACAGAAATTTCTGTAAAATTTCTTTAAAATGCTACTTCTGCTACAGTTTTAGTCTGCTTTTAATATAATTAGGCATACAAGAAGACTATACTAAGATACATAATTTAATGCATCGGTTTTTGAATTCGATGAACAGTGTTGCCATGGTTACTTAAAATAGAAATTTTTGTGAAATTCCCATAAAACGCTACTCCTCCTACAGTTTTGGTTTGATTTCAATCTAATTTGGCACACAATTAGAATACACTACGATACATAATATGTATTTCCGTTTTTTTCATTTCGGTGAATGATGTTGTCATGGTTACTAAAACTAGAAATTTCCGTGAAATACTTTCAAAACGCTACTCCTCCTACAGTTTTCGTTTGATTTCAATATAACTTGCACAGAAGTAGACTACATTAAAATACATTATTCTATTTATTGTTGCATGTTGCAAATTTTCAAATCCAAGTGCTACTTTTCTTTTGTTATACGTACAGACCAGTAGAGCTACAGTCTCATCAGAGACTTCTGGTTTTTACATTTGACTGCAATTATTTAATCAGAAATGAAACAAAATACATGTAGTATAATGTTACGTTACTGAATGCATTCAAGAATTTAATTTTTGTTTTATTGTTGGCACTAGTACTTATTTTGAAAAAATATCCATTCCATTCATTTGGAAAATTTGTTTAATATTGTATTTATAAATGGTAATATACTTGTTGGGTTTATTGACAGGTAGTTGAATCATGGATGAATAAAATGGCATTCTCTAACTATACATGATTTCATTTGGGGTTACTAAAATGCACCCTTTCATAGTCAATTTGCATATTTGTAATCTTCTCTGGAAAATTCTTACTAAGGTGATTTTCCAATTGGTGAATACTGGCGATTCTGACTGCAAGTAAATGCTGAACCACTAATTACATGTATCAAATAGGTCAGTTTTTAGTAACCGGTTACTCGCTTGTCTTTCAGATGGAGTACTCGGCCATTATTCAAGAAAAACTATTATAATAAAAATTAAACTTATATGTCTTCACTATCGTTTATTGTTTGTTTTTTTTTTTTTTCACTGAACATCGTTTTATATTTTTATATTTATAAATTTATATATAATCTAAATGCCGACGTTAATCAGGTCTGGAGTGAAAAAAAAGAAAATCCAAATAATTTTAGAAAATATATAGTACTATATTTATTGTTTTACCTGCATTTTCTCTCTTTGTTGTTGTTTATTTACTTATATTACTATATTTATTGCTTTACCTGCATTTTTATCTTTGTTGTTTATAAAACTGTGATAAACATTCAGTTTTGTATTAAGGGAAGTTTGGAATGATTATCAATATCAAATGAACGTAAATATATTTCATGAACTTCAATGTTTAATCATGTTCTCGACCATACACGAATGAGTATTATCAATAATAAAGATGTAGCATGTCAATTATATTGCTTTTATTATAGCCTCAGATTGTGTGCCTGACAAATTTTTACTTCGCGTAGAATTTAAAATGTTTTGAAACACCTTTTTTTCGGTGTTATACTTTGATGTCACTATACTTGATACCTATATGATTTAGTTTAATAATGAAGTTTATCCTATAAATAAATATTCAGTTGAAGAAGACTAGGAAGCACGTTACTCTAAATGCATTGCATTGATACAGTGTCAAAGTTAGGCATGTTAGGTGACAATTTGGGTCCGTCATTTACACGTGTAGAGCAAGATTTCTGTCAGAATGAAACATTCCCGGACGAAGTTCATGTAATCAGAAAAACAAACAGGTTTGAACATAGTTCTTAAAAGCGACTGACATGCATGGAATTTGCAAAATTTCAAAATTGAAGATGGGAGGTATTAGGATTCAAAAAAATAACACGTTTAACAAAGTTCTAGCTAAGTCTAGGAAATCTGATTTTGTCAGTAAGCATTGCAGAATTGTAATAGGACAGAATGATACAGCATTAATTATATTTCATCTCAAGAATTTTGATGTTTATAAATTTAGACTCTAGAAAATGATTAAGAACAGTAACCATGCTCAATTAAACAATACAAATTGTGAGCAGGGCAAACACGGACTTCTGAAAATATCAGAGGTGGGATCAGGTGCCATGGTGGAGTAAGTATCTCCTGTCGACTGGTAACCTACGCCGTGAGCTCCTTGTTCATGATTGGGTGAACGGAGAAATCCGTAAACAATAATTTATATGAAAAATCCCCTTCAACATTCGACCTTACAACAGATTGTGTTTGCTAACAAATCATTGTATCGATTCATCAACTAATTTGTAAGTAGCCTGCCTCCATTAAAAAAATGAAGGTAGAACATTGCGTATCTAATCAAAT